AGGCAGTACAGTCAAAGGTACACTGTCAGCCAATGCAGGCACATAAAGTGATTTATTTGGTCACCCACAAGTCCTACTGTAGGATAACCCAGGTTGCTTCTTAGGCTTTACTGACTGTATTGGCTCAAGACAAGATTCACACATAAATGTCCAGCACTGCCTGTGTGCTGGGTGGGTGTCCTGTCTGGCACTCAGCCATCCCAAAAGGACATGGGTTTCCTTTATGTTTTAAGTGCCAAGCACATCTCAGACTTCTTAAATTCATCCAAAGGCACTAACATTTATGCAAATGAATCAAACCACTGGTTTCCACTGATCCATTGATCTCCACAGTCAGAATAAAGACAGCAAGCATGCTTGTATCTTTACCTACATGTAGGCATGTTAATTTAAGAGCCTCCATCTTGATATTACCTGTTTTTCTTCTGCCCTTGAAAATTTTGTTGGCTAGAAGTTTCATTTTGAGGCTGTTGTGTCTTTTAATTTTAGAAGCTCTCATGCTTTGTTTCACTTACCTGAAATATGTCCATCAACAGTTCACGTTCTCAAGACTTAACAGGCTGGTGCAGAACAAATACATGTGCACACAGGTAGCTCTAGAGACTGCATTCAAATTTTCCTAACTCTGGCTTACTTGTGTTTTGCCAGAAAATCCCTGGAAGGCAGCCTTCAGCATACAGGACAAAAAGTGTACTTATGGGGAGTTATGGATGACATGAGAATTAATGTGTTCAAGAACATCAGAAAAAAAACAGTAAACTTAGTTCAAAGGAATGGTCAGTATTAATAACCAAGGACATGTACAGAAGCAGTCAGACTGGAAAATGCTGAGGGATTAGTTCATTTATATCATGACCAGAAGGCCTCTGCTCCCTCTGCAAGAGAATGGCAACAAAGATGTCATATGGGCCGTGCATCCTTCCACTGTGCCATGAGGAAGATGAGGATACCCAAACAGAGGTATCACGGACAAGAGACAGCAACCTTGCCAAAGTTTTATGGAGAACAAAGCTTTTGAAGTTGAGATGGGGATCTGGCATTTACTGATCATCATGCAGCATTGGACTCTGGACCAAACTCTGGTAAAGATCAGTTTGGGAGTGATTGTTCCAGTTCATTTGGTTTGAACTTTTTCTCCCAGCCTGCATTCTTTTCTTTTTGCCAGAATGAAACACAAAACAAAACCTGCCTGACATTCAAACTGCTTCGCTGATGACTCACTGACCAACTCCATGGCTTTAAGCTAGTAATTAGCTCACTTGCTATCTCATTTGTGCCTTCTGAAAAACAGGGTGATGAGTTTTTGCTGATAATGAAAAAGTGAACATGAATTGAATTGTTCCCAGAAAGTAAATTACTAAATAAATACGCATTAACAAGTGATCCTAAGACAAGAATTTGCTTGTGGGGGCAACTGCATTTTCACTGAGGCCAGTCTTGAATAACATCCTGCTTTACAAAAGGCTGAGAGTCACTGTGACAAAGCACAAATTGCTACCAAGGTTATTTAGGCGACTCTTTTCATTCAATGGTATCACAGGGATCAGCAAATGATGTGGCACATTCTTCAGTTTTGTCTCCTCCTTCTGTTGTTGTCTGTGGCTGCCCCTTTTGCAGGTACAGCTTGATCCTGCTTCTCAAACTTCTTCCACAAATAACTGAGTGCCCAGCTTAACCAGGCAACTTTGCAGGTTTCAGCGTGTTTTAGAGACGCTGTCGTAACAACTTCAAGACCCTTCAGTTTGCAAGGAACACCACTAACATTCACACATTCAGAGTAGAACTAGTACAGTAATATATTCACATTTATTTACTTGCATTACCATAAATTTTATAGACACAGGCAGGTGTGTTGACTACATTGTGCTCAACAAATAAAAGGTCTGAACAGAAGCACTTGGACTGGGAGCCATGAGGTAGAAACTAACAGGAAACAGAAACAATCAATTGGAGGCAGCAGTTTCAGTATAGCAACCACTCAATTATCATCAAGAGTTTAGTGGGCCTGAGGACTTTCAGAGAAAATAATTAGGTGGTTATGAGGTGTTTACAATTACTTTTTCAGAGAAGAGAGAATGCTTCTTGGAAAAAGCATCAAAAGCATGTGTTTGAAAATTATCAGTTTGGAAATGGAAAATACTAAATTGCATCATAAGCTGATCAGAGGTAGGGCTTGACCTCTAAATACTGAAAGGGTTATTTTAGAAGTTGTTTTATCTGAGCAGTCACAGCACACAGAGTTGTGGTGAGTTCCTGCTGCAAACAGTAAACCTGATGAAGCCTGGTTTATTTTGAACTCATGTTTTATTTTCTTATCCGCCCAACTCAATAACCTCTCCTAAAGCTCTAAGAGTTTCTCCTTACTTCAGTTGTACTTCTTCAGCATGTTTCTTCTCATGACCTCTTAAAAACATCTAGTTGAAAGGCTCCCTGACAAGGGGCATGTTCTGTCTCGCAGCCTGATACCCACAGTGAGTGGCCCAGCCACTGCTGGTGAGCACATACTTCAGCTTTGCCTCATTACATTTCCTTTCTTATGTAGAGACCGTCTTCAGAAGTCGTGTAGAAAAACCCACTACTCTTCATCTCAGATGGTCATTCCAATGAAGCTGAAAAGACAGAAAGGCACTCTTAGTCCATGATTCATCCTATCCCAAAATAGCAATCTAAATCGGGTCTTTTGAATCACGGTTAAACATGCCAGCTGGTCTCCACTAACTGTAAGGGCAACCAATGGGATTATGTCAGATGAAGACATTGGTACTACAGCAGTCTAAACTTAGGTGAAACGAATCGTACTGTAATTCTTTTGAGCTCTGTGTCACTTCATGATGTTAAAGAGTGGTGGTTGGTTTCCAAGCTTGTATAGTGGGATAGGTGGATGGACACTGTGATCACTGAGTCTTCCTTCATCTGAATGCTAGGCTGAAGAATCAAAAAATCTTCCCAATGGGAAGAGTGAGAAAACAAAGATGTATTTGTGCATATTTTCACAGAGGAAGATGCTACATTTTCTACCACTTTTTTGAGCTCTCCCCATCTGCTCAACAGCCCCTGTACATGTGTGAGTTGTTAGAGCAAGGCACTTCAATGCTGGTGTCACCACCATCTTCCCACCAGATAAAATCAATGCATGTTGACAGCAAGTACCAAGTTGCCCTCTTCCACAAAGGTGAAATTAGTTCACTTACCTTTTTGTTTTTTGTAAGCTTTTCCAGGAGTTAATGTATATTTTTCTAGTCAGAGATAAAGAAATAAGGTGATGAAAGAAAGAAGATGAAAGAGAGGTATTGGTTCCAACAACATCAGAATATTTAGTTGTCCTGTATTGCAAAACAGAAAAAACAACATTTTACTAGTAAAGGACCTTGAAACTTTTTCTTGCAATGCCCTCTTTTTAGGACAGCCCAAGTTTCCACATGCTCTTTCTCCAGTCCTGGAGCTAGCCTGCAAAATCCCTACTACAGGCTAGTGTGTAGATGCAGAGGTGCCCACAATTCTGACTTGGTTTCTCAACATAGAAAGAAGTCAATTTTATGCAACTTCATTGTGAAAAGCCATCCTGAGCACACAATTGTACAATAAAAGCTCATGACTTACCTTGTGAGTGAAATTCTGGGACAGCTGGGCTTGAGGTACCTCCCAGCATGTCCTACACACCATTTTGCATAGTCATGTTAGGCTGCCACATGCCCACCTCTGCAATTTTTGTGGCTGCCTGGGAAATGCTGTCTGAGGGTTCCTGCTCATGCTGCTCCAGCACTTCCATCCTGCTTGTGGCATGCTGTGGCATGGGGCTTGGTGCTCATGTGTGCACCATCCCAGCACAGGGAAGTAAGAATCAGAAAAATTTCACAAGTGCTCACAGAGCTCTACTGGATGTTGTTGTCACTGTCCTCAGATTAACAGCCATCCCCAGGCTCAGCCATCTCACCCAACCTCACCCTGTGAGGAAGCACAAGCTCCCAGAGACCACCCTGCATCCTCCTCCCTGGTCCCCTGAGAGACAGTTCTCTCCCTCCCCTTGAGCTCTGCCTCCTGTGAGCACACATGTCCACGTGGCTGGATGAAAAAACACATTACAACCCTGAGCCAGATTACAGCTGTGGTTTTGTTCCCATTGGCTGAGACTTCAATTGGATTAATTCGTTTGTTGTTCAGACCAGGCTTGTGCAAACTCAAGGCAGAGGGTAGGAATGGGCAGGAGGGAAGCAGCACTGTATCTTTTAGTACCAGTTCTGGCAAATGTTAGCTTAAAAGTACAATTCCTATCCCTGAACCAACTTCTTAGCCCTAGCAGAGCAATCCGTTTCAGCCTTCTCTCCATGAATGTGGAGGGCATATCTGCTTCTGCAACTGTGCCACCCAAGTCATACAGCCCTCAAAGAGCAGCTGCTCTTAGAACTGGAATGCAAACTCAAAGTGCCAGGAGAGGAGGCTCTGAAAGCGTTTGCTTCAGACAAGTCACCAGGTTTGTGAAAAGCTAAACAAAGCAGTCAGCTGCCTGCATTGCATGGGAGCCTCGTGGCAACTCTCAGGAAATAGTATAGAGCTTTTTGTGTTATTTTAATTATGTTTCAATTTAATAGTGACTAAGCAAACTCTTGCAAAAAGAATTAGTAGGTTTGAGCTGTATCAGACCATGACACATGTGATGCTGCTCAGTGACACAGGCAAGACAGACCCAGACAAGATGCCCTTGCTCCAAGAGGGCTCCTGAACCAGCCTGGCCCTGTGCTGCTGAACTCATGGAAAACTGTGGCTGGACAGTGACCTCCCCACAAACACTTTGAGGCTTCCTCCAATCTCTGTGCAGCCCCCTTCTCCTCACAACTTTGAAGTGCAATTTTTAAAAAGTCACCTGAATTTAATTCTTGAAACTACTTTTTCTCCTGAAACTGTGCAAGTTGTGCTCTGTGGAGTACCACCATTCTGTTTACATCTGCATTTTCCACTTGAAGGTTTTGGAAAAAATTTATAGTGCAAAAGATTAAAATAAACCAACTCACCAGACAGAAAATACTTCTTGCCGTAATTATCTCTTTTTCTGTCTTAGTATGTTTCCTACCAGTTTTGGTTGGGAAGTGGCAGAGTTGATGGCAAATTTGATCTGTCAATCCAAAAAAGTGATTAAGGTCACTTAGGAATAACAGGTGCCACCTGGAAAAGAAGCAGAGGACTTAAAAAATATTTATGGCTAAATGTATTCATTTTTGCATTCCAGAAGGCTCCCCTTGGTCTCTCCTGAAGATAATACATTAACATTAGGATGAAATATTGACATGCTGTTCAAACTTTTCACCTGAGATTGAATTATAAATCACAGAAGCTGAGTCACTGGTCTTTTTATTAGCTCAGAGAAATAACATGACATTACTCAAGGACACAGACCAGCCAATTTTTTCCGAAGATAAGAAACTGATTCATTTTTTCTGAAAAAAAGAATTCCTTATCTTTCTGGCTTCATTCAGGAATACATCAACAGAAAACCAATATGAATTGATAAAAAGGATTTGTTCATTTATTTTCTTACAGAATATTTGATCCTTTTAGATTATTTCAAATAGCACCATATTGGGTCAGAAATTCCTGACTACCAAGGAATTGGAAACCTGATTTTCACAGCACTGCTGCCATGTATTGATGTAATTTACCATGGAAAACACCCTGTATTAATTATAGATAACCATAGTATGGCCAAACAATACAAAAAACACATCCACAAATTGTAATTGTTTTAAACTCCAAGCAGCCTAAGATCTAAGCAGAGATTTTAGGGGAGCATGAGAACAGCTAAACTAAACATCTGTTTAGTTAGATTAAATTGTTCAGGTTGACAGAGGGAGCAGGGAATGTGGTCAGTAATTTCTAAAATGCAGCATCTTATGGGTTGATTATAAAATAGTGGTGTTGAACTTTCAGAAGCAATGACCCTAGTGATGGGTCACTAATTAACATACAGCTGGATCCAGGGGACCTCCTTTATTTGGTCAGTTCTTGATGAAAAGCAGCTAAATATTTCTGTGTATTTTTGGCAATTACATTTACTTTTGGTACCATCCCCACAAATAGCAATGTTCCATTTCAAAGTTGCAGTATCTACTTTTAGATCTCTTAGTATTTCAAAAGGATGAGAATATTTAAAATAAACTACATCCTTACTACAGTCAATCAAATATTTCCCCATCAACTAGGACAGTTTCTATATTCTGATTCCTTTCTCAGGTTTAATTCTGTTTTGGATTCTGCTACTGAGTGGCTCTGTACGTCTTAAGGAAGTTGTTGTGCAAGTGGGACAACTTGACAAATGCAGAAATACGAGATGCAGAAACTTGCTTCCTTCACAAGTACAATATGCAGCTGAATAGCAGCTATTGTCTTTATTTTACAGTGGACAAAATCATGTTCTGTTTCTTAAAGAATGATGAAATCAGGACATAAATTAATATAGTGTTTTCTGATTGGTACCATATACAAATCCGGCATCAGTGTTTATAGGAAAAAGTGTCCAGTGGTTCTCACCTGAAGTTCTTCATTTGACTTTGCAAGACTTCCATACAGCTGAAAACTTTCACTCTTGGTATCACTAAGAGTGCCCATGATTAGAAATGTTGACAAAAATAGTTGTCATTACTGAGAACAAGAAAAGATATAAAATACACCTTCTTTATGGAGAGGTTCAGTTACTGTCGAGAACATGACCAGGTGGGAAACATGCTTTTTCCTAGGCTGACAGGACTACAACTGGTCCCTTGGGAAGCTCTTTGGTAACTATGAATTTGATGAAGAATTTCCCACTTGGCCAGGTGAGGGTTGCACAATATGAGAAACTCTTCAAATTCCAAGGACACAACAAATATGGGTTGGAAGTGCTGAGGGGGCCCTGCTCCTCCAGTCTGGAGATTTACAAACCAAGCAGAGACTAACAGATGTGCCACCACTACAGAGTAATGCTGCAGCTGCTCTGTCTGGGGCAGCCTTATGCTCTTGTGAAGGCTCCAATGCAAGGATTAGCACATTGTGCCAATGGATCAGCACAAGATACACACTTATCACAAAGAAATTATGAAAAGCAAATACCAGACAGTTCTGTGCTCAGTATCTCAGGTTCTTCTGGAGTTGGGAATAAGCAAGTTTCATTTATCAGCATATAATGTGTCAAAGGCAATGAGAACACAGATATCTTAGCATCCTTTTGGTCCAGACTCCCTGGGCAAGGCAGCCTGTCTCTGAGGTCAATTCAAAGGGCAGAGGATGTGTTATTAATCAAAAGCATCCTAACTAGCTGAGTTAAATGACATAAATGACAACATGAGTGGTGTATTCATAAAAGGCCTGCATTTTCACGTTCCCAGTTTTGTGAAACTATGAGGTTAATTCACACACACCACCCAAGCAAAAATGGACCAGCACTGAAAGAAAATTGTTATTGCAAAGTCAATACCTTTAATATAATGAAATGCCAGAATTAAGCTTGCCTTTAATGTGGCATCCTGTTGTGTACATATGATGATATGCTTTTTAAATTATACAACTGCATCGTGCTTCTTTCAAGAGATCCCTACTTCATTCACTACACAGGAACAGAGGAGATTTCTTAATGAGATTCTAGGCAGGATTTTTATTAGCACAGATTTCTACTCCCTCTTTTGTTTACTGAACTCATTCTCAGTACCGTACTGAATAGGAAATTAAAAATGTAATATTTTATGTAATTATTCTCAAAGTTCAAGTCGACTGCAGCTGAGTTCTATGACTCAGTAATCCAAGATGGTTAACTAAAAGATGCAGACTAAGCAAGCTGTGAAAACCTAGTTTTCATGTCTTGTGTCCCCAGGCTGTGTAAGATAGCCATGTCTTGCTGCATTTACTGTGGCAGTACTCTTGCCCTCATTGAAAGTTCTCCACTCAACCCTAAAAGCTGACGTTTCAGAGAGCAGCATATTTCAGCTCAGCCCCAGAAAATACACATTTTTTTTACTCTCACTGGGCACAGGTACACCAATGTCCTCAGGCTGACTGACTGTAGGATGTGTTTGCACAGTACAGACTACAAAGACTACCTGAAGGTATCATAGGGAAATACGAAGTTGAAAACTTGAAATTCCCTCTGATCTGTGCCAAGACAGACCAGTGTATCCAATATCTACATGCACAGACAAAGAAGAAAAGAATTCCTTTCTTCAAAGGAAATTTGTCCACCTGAAAGACATATTATTCCTTGAGTTTTGGTTAATCTGTCCACTTGAAGGTGGACCATTCCTCCAGTTTTCCAGGAGACAAAACATGAGGGATGCACTTGTGCAGCCAGAAGCACTGGGCTGAGAGCTGCCTGTAAGGCAGCAGCAACTGCAACATGGGAACCTGGACTTTCAGGCTGCCAGGAAGTTCAGTATGGTATACCAAAGGGAAAAAACAGCACAAATAGCCCATTTGTTAAAAAAGAAGTGGAAACCATAATCCATTTAAGGGTTTCAGAGGAGAATACGTAAAGGAAAACCAGCAACTACCTTCTCTGTGTGGGTTAGCTTTCACCCATGACTTCTTAACACACTATCTCTAGGGTGTGTTTCTTTCAAGGAAGATGCAGGTTTTCACATGTAGATGAGTGCCTGGCACATTGCAGCCAGCCTCCAGCCACAAGGCAGAGGGCACAGAGGTCCAGTAAGTCCTGTGTTGTGTCTCAGCCCTGTGTGAATGTCCTGGCTACCCTCTGCAGTTTATGTCCAGGCAACTGCCTTGTTCCCCAGCACGGCTGTCCCTGTTTTGGCATGAATTGCCCATGCAACTGATGTTCCCGTGCTCCTGCCACTGCACCTGCCTGGCCAAAGCAGGGTGCCAAAGGCAACAGTGAGTCATTGCTATGCTCACCCCAAGACATGTTGCATGAGGAAGACAGGTTCTTGCTGTGTTTTGTTTATAATAGGGCTGAAGCTGCGCTTCCCACAGAGCTTAAAAAGTGAACAAGAAAGCCTCAGGTGACATTTCAAGGGAGGATAGCTTGGGAGGTGCCTTTTCTTTTAACTAACCTCAATAGAAGAATGAAGATATAATCAGATAAGTGTCAAAATAAATGATGAATTCACACATCAGATAACTGACCCTGTTTTGAAAGAATATTGTATTCACTATTTTAGATTGTAATAGAAAACAGGATGGTCCAAAACTTAAGGGATTAAAACTGCCCCAACTGCAGCCAATGGAAATATTGTCTTTCACTTCAACAAAAACAGAAAATGTCTTCAGTTGATCTGGAAAAAAACTTTGAAATGCTGGAGTGATTACTAGTCGCTGCCAACCATTAACTTTCCTTCTTTTCCTCCAACTGAATTATGCCAAGTCTTTCATGGGCAGTACGTTTCATTGCCATTTGCTTATTTGTTGTCTTGCTTTTCTACAGATTTTTGAGAGGAAGATGGAAAGCTGATCTGTTTCCAGAATTTATGATAGGGGAAAAAAAAAACAGCTAAAAAATAAGGAAAAAAAAAAAAACAGAAGAAAGAAAGCCTACCTTTGTCCCATGGAGCTGGCAAGAGACATTATCACCTGGAGAGAGGTGAGGGGCAAGCTTACAAAATATGCCACTACTATTGACAACCCTCCCTGAGAGCAAAGCCTTGTTGCTGGTATCTCACTGATCTGCCATACTGCAGTCCCAGCTTTACCCACTGTGACCCAGGCTGTGAAAGACAAAACCATAACGACCAAGATAACATGCATATGCAGGATGATGCTGGACTATGCATGAACAGAATTTGACCATTTGTTATTCAGGAGTAGTGGCACTTTACAACAAAGAACATTAACCACATTTCCATTGCTGTAAAGCTCTTGTTTAGTTTTTCTCTTCCTCTCCCTAGACCCAGATCCAGTCAGGTCCTTTGCATTAATTCTGTGCTCATCAGTACATTCATGCCTTGAGTCAACTCCATAGCTATCACAAACGATTCACCTTTTTTCCAGTTTAATATTCTTCTCAATTCCAGTAATTAGAATTGGCTTGGTGCAGGGTCAGAAAACACAAGCCAGTGCATGTAAGGGGAGGTAGGCCAAGGCCAAGGGAGAAGGGCACAGAACCTCTTTAAGTGAAAATGAGCTGTTAGAAAATCTCATACCCAAATATGTAACTTTACCTGTCCAGCTTTGCTGCAGACACTTTAATTCTTTGTTTTGTGTCCTGCAGGCTTCTCCTAATAGCCATCTGCAGCCTGACAGTAATTATAAAGCCTGGCTCAAAGAATTGATCAATAATGTGATAAGGTGAACAAAAAGAACTCCAAGAGAAAGATACCTTTTCAGTATGTTCAGAGGCCTAAAATGTTTCCAAAACACTTAGCCATCCTTTGAGAGCTGCACATGCCTGTTTAGTGGTAGCATCTTTCTTTGAGAATCTATCCCTTACCTCTCAACAACCTCCTGGGTCATTTAGGATCTCATCTTTCTTTCTGCAACAAAGGCTGAGAAACAAGTGTGGTTACACCACCAAAGACCCTGCAGCCCATGATCTATAGGTACTTCCAATAGTGGTGTTTATGCAGCATATGGAAGCAGCAGTGAGACAGCAGCTGGGAGCTGTTCCCTCACATAACTCAGTTTCTCACTGGGAAAAAGCAGACCTATTCAGCTTATATTCCACCCATATCTCAATACCTGAAGCTCTATCCAGAAATACAAGCTACCAAAGAAAGATTAAAATTGAATGTAAAATTATTCAAATACCTGAGCTATTAAATGGAAGGCCAATGTCATCTTTCCTGATATAGCTAGTCTATTTGCAAATTGGCAGTTCAGCCTCACTAGTATTTACTGAGCTAGCTAACAGCGTTTTTCACTCGAAATGCCTGGAACAAGTTTAGGCTTATTAATAAATAAAGTCTTCTGTTACATGTAGTAATACACAGGTTTGTACTTGGGATTTTGAACAACTCTTTCATGACATAGTTAAAACCTTTTCCTTGGTGGAGTGCCACAGAATTACACTTTTATGAAAAAGAAGATTAAAGCACACTGGAGTAATGAGAAATTTGAGAAGAGCAAGTTTCTCAGGAGGTGATCCATTTGACCAAAACCTGCACATATATATACACTAAAATGGAGGTTATAATCAGCATTAGACTGAATTATTTTAAGCATGGAATCTTTCAGCTGTATCTGCTGTTCTTCCTTCTTGCTCTGCTGCTCTATGCCCCCAACAACCTGCACTGAGGGAACCTTGCAGCCTCCTCTTCCTCTTTGTACCAAGCATGGATTCATGCAGGGCACAAAGCCAACAATGCTGCCTCGGTGCTGCTACCCAGCAGCCATGGCTTTGGAAAGAACCAGCTGGCGGCAGTAATCCAACAGGCAAAACCTGGGAATCCTGGGGTCAGCGCCACGGAGTGTGGGAGAGCTGCAGGTTTGGCAGGCAGATGGTTGCTCTTTTACACAACTGTGCAAAGTACACTTCTTATGATAAAACATTACAGTTCATGACAGGTTATTTGGGGAAAAGGTTACATTTCCCCGAGTCTTATCTTGCTGCCTGATGCATTCCTTGGCAGAAATGGGAATTTGGACAAAGATTAAAGAAGTTATGGATGTGAACAACTGGGTAACTACATGGAGGCTGTATTCCTGTTACTGGCAGATATAGGAGAGGTTAGAAATGTGAGGCCTATAATCATTTACAGACATAGAGAGAAACCAGGCAGTTCTTTTCTATAAACCTCAAATACTAGAACAATGAAGCCTTGGAGAATTTGGTAATGGGAAGCATGGTTTGGGTTCCAACTCTTACCTGTCAGTGCAGCTCACTGGCTCTGCTTTAATTTCCCAGCCTGTAAAAAAACTGAAAAATTATATTAAAATAGATATAAAAGCTGCTACTAATACATCTTACTTAGGAATTCTACTATTTTTTTCACTAAGGATCAGTACTTTATTCTTAGCTGCTAAACTTTATGTAAAAAAATATACTACAGCTTGAGTGTGGCAGGAAAGATGAGACAGTTGCTAAACAGAAAAGTATTATTTATTTATTCTGCTTTTCAACTAACTTTTGAATGTTCCAACCCACATTTAACTAATATTTGTGGGTTTCTGGATTCTTTTCAGGAGATGTTGATGATGAAATTAGGACTTTTAGGTGTGCTGTCCTTCAAACGGATATATGTTTGCAAAAAATGTGCAGACACCTAACACTCCTAGCTGTGGTGAGAATTCAAGTAACCAAGGAACTCAGTCACTTTAAGGTGCATGCCCTGAATTCAGGCTTTTGTAAGGCTTAATCATCAACAGAGTCTTTGAAAGGACTTTGCACTCAGCCCCTGTTTTTCTTATGTCTAAAGAAGAATTTCACAGCTTCTGATAGTCACAATGAACGAAGTGATGCATTAAAGACAAGACATGCAGAGAGGATGAGAAGGTAGACTTCAGTTTTGCTACTGAGCCCCTGGTATTCTTGTATATTACACAGCTATCTACTAAGAAAAAAAACCCCACAGGTCAGCCTATGGAAAAGAATATAAAGATAATCCTATAATAAAGGGTCTCCATCATAGGAGACACTGGAAAGAAAATAAACTGGAAAGTAATTTGGAAGTTCTTGCTTTCTTGGAAATACTTTGTATCTTGTGGATGTCATCAAAGAGCCTCTTTAGGACAGCTTTGGACACAGTCACAGCTGAATTGGTAGAAGAGTGCACTTCCAAGGGAACTGGTGGCAGCAGGAGAAAACAGTGAACAGTGTACAATGGGCATCAATCTCCATGCCAGACCACTCTGAGAGGGAGCAGTTCAGCAACGTACACACAAAATAATTCACATGCTACAGTCAAGGCACCATAACCATGTCCTGTCCACAGACACAGCAAAAGAATATGTGGGCTACTCAGAAATGAGAAATTCAAGTTCCTTGCAAAAGGAACATGCTAATAATGACCAAAGTGGTGAAATAATGTGATTATATTCACTTTTTACATAAATGCACAAAACTTTATAGACTGAAATGCACAGTTCATCGTTACTGAAGTAAAAAACGCCAGCCCTCAAAACCAATGGTTATCAATAAAAATTCACAAAAACATCCTATAAATGCACCACTTAGACTCATGACATAACTTAATGCTACTACAGTCATTTCTACATCAGGCAACAGCAAGAAAAAGAAATTTTAAAGTTATACTGAAAAGTCACACCGGTGTCTCTCATACACTAATTGAGAAGTTGGCTTGGAGAGGAATAAGTATTATTAATTAGACCAAAATAAGTCCCCATTAGTCATATTCCTCAATGCAGAGCAGGAAGACTTTAACTGGAAAATACATCAGAAGATCCTTCACTTGAATCTTTTCAGTGTCCTGACTTCCTTCTCTCCCTAGATAGATCATTTAATCCAAGTTGCTAGTCAGCAAGACTTTCTGCATCAAGAAATAATTGACTGAGCACAGATCTCTCCAGTGCCTCAGGAAATGTCTGGAGGCCTCCTGACTCTCCTCACTAAAAAGGAAGCAGTTATTGCATCTGCTGCTCACCTGAGTCAGTTGTTTTTTTCCTACTAAACACACCATTTCAAAACTTTGGAAGATGATTGTTTCATTTGAAGTCTTTTCATTTTACTCAGAAAATAATCAATATACAGCAATGCCAGCTCAAAAATCACCTTGAACAAAGCTGCTTTAAAATTTCTTTGCAGATGATTCATGAAGTAAAACAAATCTTTCTTTCTTCCTTCTAATAACAGCCTCATCACAAGACGTTTCCTTGCTACTTATTACTTTTAATGACAGCCAGTAAAAGAAAGGATTCTGTAGGAGTGGCCTCACCTATGAGTCTACATATCTTTCATCTCTCCCAGTGGGTATATTCTCAAAGAGCCAAGCTACTCTATTAGATTTAGTGGCAGCTGATTTGAATAGCTTTGCAGCTATACAAAACAAAAAGTGAGTTATCCTCTGTGGAGAAAGACAGGAACATGTCAAACAGCTCCTTGCTGTGCAAGTTGCAAGTCACATATTCTCCTCCCATCAACCTACTAAATTACCGTTCATCAGCCTTTTCCCTCAACTATTTCCTTTGGACTGTTCAGAAAAACTAGTTAAGCCTTGGGCCAGGGGATTTGAGTACAGAGTAAACCAGTAACATCATCCAAAGTACTGCCTGTATGTTCAGAGAAGCTTTTTTTCATATTAAGTGTATTGGAAGTAATTATACATGATACTCAGTGTACTGGAAATAATTATACAACATTAAGCATGTGGGCAGATATTATACAATGGTTTGTCTTGAAGTCACATTTTAGGTGATGTGCAAATGAACATTTCTGCATGTGATGCTGTCAACTTTAGAACGGCTTAGTCCTTCCACTGTGGATCACCCCACACTGCCAGAACACATACATTAGAACTGAAGGGGGAAAAGATTCAGCTGAAAGTGGTGAACACTCCATAAACAGAGCTAACTTGTCATGCTGTTATGCTAGAGATTGCAGTATGAGAAAAGAGTTTACATCTTCATCAGTTTTACTGGTGCAAGAGAAAATACCTTGATTTTCTGTTACAAACAATGTATTAGCTCAGTAGTTGACAAGACTAAGCACACAGGACTGGAAACAGAGCAGATATCAGCACTAAAAGAACACAAAAATGAGCTGAGGTTAAATACTGAGAAAGACAGGACACTGAAAATGTGCTCTTGAATTGCAGGTCAAAGAGTAGCATTAGTGGTCAGCTGAAGAGTACAGACTGCATAATAGCAGCCTGCAATATAGTAAAACTGATCTTAATTTCAAAATTTTGTGTATGTTGCTGGAAATGTTTACAGTGCATTATACACCCGCACACTCAAAACTATACCAAATACCCAATTCTTACAGAAAAGTTTCTCAGTAACACAGGGCTCTTGCTGCCAGCCAAGTGAACTGAGAGCATGGACCCTAAACAATACAGACATGTTGGCTCAGATTCCTCAAATGACAACATAAACTTTGATTTGATACAACAAGGTTTGCTTCAGATGCAGGCTCACTGCCCCAAAGGTAGAAAGGGGCTGACACAGCTGTTGGCTATCAGGTGCTCCTTGTCACTGCCAGGACTCCTGAGGTGCTTCAGCTGTAACTCAAAGCTGTGGAAAAGCTGAGGCTGGATGGCAGCATGATGGCACAAATATGGTATCTTGATATTTTGGTGCAATTGCCCTCAAACATACAAGGCTTTGTCCCCTTAGATCTGAAATAAAGTACAACTTGGCTTTCACATGAGCGATATGCCTCATCAGACTACCATTGCCAAGTGTGAGAATTTTGGCCTCTTGATGTTTCAAAAATAAAAAAGGCTGTGGGATTTTTTAGCTAGAAGAAAAGATTGTATTCTTGTCCACCAAACTAAGTCAACCAGCCATCTCCAGATCTATTATAGTACCAACAACGGCACTGCTTTCATTCAGGCCAGCCTGTACAATTTCTGCCAAAACCATTTAGGTATTTTTTTTTTTAATCATGAGCTCCTAAAAATCAGCTCATTATAAATTGTTTGTAATTTTAATTTTAACAGTTACTCCTTGTTCTGTCAATGCTGCCTTTTGTGTAGAAACTTACACCATTAAAATACTTCTGAGTTATTTTAATATTTGGTATCTTCCATTAATGTATTCAGTTTTGTTATTCTATTATCTTGGGAGTTTATTCTATTCTTTAGACACCTCATATCCTGGAGTAAGATAATTAAACAGTTCTTGTAAGTATAGTCATTCAGTCAATGAAATATCTAATAATACAGTTCATCCATTAGTGGGCTATATCAGAGTTTAAATACCTTACTAATTATCAAAGCATTGGTTTATCACATACCAGCCCTGCAGCCGATGGTGAGCTTTGTGAATGTAACAATGAGGGTCCAGGAGTAATAAATTTCTGTTTATCAGCAGTGAGAAACTTTCCCTTCACGTTAACGTTCAGCTTTTTGTCTCTCCATTTAGTAAAGACTTCGCACTAATAGGCCTTCCTTCTATTTTTCATCGACTGTAATAAAATACACGCTTCGACACGCCCCTGCATCCTCTTTCCTAACACAATGCTATTGCAATTCCCTCCAAAACAACCCCCAGGTAACAAACTCATTTTCAACAACTTCGCGAGCTGGGCTTACTGCTTGACACGCAACATGCGGGTTTCGCAGCCGCAGAGATGCAGAGGAGAATCCATGGGGGATGAGGGGCGACCTCTCTGGACTTCACCCACCCCGAGCATCTCGTTTTCCCCTGTAAAACACACAGGGGCGTTCGCGCACTGAACCTCTCGGTCAGGACATTTATTTTGGCGCTCTCAGGCGCACACGGTCCCTGTCCCCCGGAGCACCAGCCCGGCCAGCCGTGCCCCGTGCTGCCCGGGGCTCCTCTCGCCGCCATGGCGCCCGGCGCAGCCGAGCGGCGCCTCCTCCCGTGTCCGGGCCGAGGGCCAGGCGTTCGGGGCCGCTGCCGGCGGCCGGGCTCGCCTCCCCGGGCCCCTCCGTCGCTCGTTGCCGCGCCGGGAGCGCGCCGGGAGCGCGCCGGGCCGGCAGGCCGCGCGCAGCCCGCGCCCGGCGGGCGGGGGCGGTGCCTGCCGGCGGAAAGTGCTGAGTCACGGCCCTGACGCGCGGCCGCCGTCACGTGCGGCGCCGGGCTCGGTCCCGCCGCCGCGGCGCCCGGCGCACCCGCGGCACCGAGCGCACCGGCACGGGCGCGCCCGCTCCGCTCGCGTCCTCGGCCTCCTTCCCTCCCGGCCGGCATGGGGCTGCTGTCGCAGGGCTCGCCGCTGAGCTGGGAGGAGACGCGGCGGTACGCGGAGCACGTGCGGCGGCACGGCATCCTCCAGTTCCTGCACATCTACCGCGCCCTGCGCGACCGCCACAAGGACGTGCTCAAGTGGGGCGACGAGGTGGGTGAGAGCCCTGCGAGCGCGGCCTCCGCCGCCGCTGTGGCGGGCGCAGGTGCCGTTCCGGCGCGGGCGGGCGGGCCGCTGGGCCGGAGGGGACGTTGCGGTCCCGGCGGGCTTTGTTTACCTCGCGCACACGCGCGCCCGCCGCACTCCGTTGCGCAGCGCGGCCGCCCCGCTGTTAGCGCGGTTCTGAAGCGCTGGGACAGCTTTGGGTGCTTCCGCCTGGCACCGGTTGGTTGCCCCGGCTGCCCCGCGGGAGGTGTATTCCCGGGGCGGTGATGCTCGGCAGCACTCGCTCCTTCCCCGGAGTTTGTTTATGCTCCCTCGATGAGTCTGAGTAAAGCACGTCTATGCCTCGAGTCCAAGGCAGTGCCTGCTCGGAGTCAGACTCAGATTTTGGGAGGAAAGTGACGGAAGCAGGACCGGGGGTGGGCGGGCGGCTCTGCAGTGGCAGCGCTCTCACCGCCTTCCTCCCCGTACCCCTGCTGAAAGGGACTGCCGAGCCCTGCTTTACCCGGAGTTCCCTGGGCGTTTGGTACCCGTCAGCCTGCCTTCTGAGCAAGGATCAGGATGATCGCTCGGGTCATCGCTTGAACTTTGTTACAGGTGCTTTGTGCCGGAGGACCGTAACTTTAGTTACAGGTCTTGGGTGTGTTGCCTTGTAAACTTGCGCTCATCTGTGCCACAGCCTGACGGCACTCTGCAAGGAGCAAAGGCTGCCTCCTCTATTCATTAGTTCCCCAGGAGACAGGGAGCAGCTTCACTAGAAGCTGTCCTTGTCCGTGGTGTTGGTGAAGTCCAGCACTGGCCACTTGAAGGTGTTGTAGATGCAGCTGCAGGGAAGTTTGGAAGAACAGAGTAGGATAGAAGCAATGTGGGGTCTTGGCCATTGCACCTCTGTCTCATGTACAGTTTGCTTTCTGAGCAGCAAAGGCATTTGTGAGAAAACTTCATTCAAGTAATAGCAGCTGTTCATAGATGTTCTTTGCCAAAAGAGAATGCCGTTCACCATGTGCATTCTGAGAGAACTTGTCTCTTAAAGTCAGTTCTTCTTTAAATTAACCCTTTTTTATAATTCACATAACAGCAGGGCAGGCATCAGCATGCAGAAGTTGCTTCCATGAGTGAGTGGGGGCTTGGCTACTAAATAAAATCTGTTTAATGAAAGTATGTGCAGTCTACACCGTAGGGTTTTGCAGCTAGAGTGGTGTGGACTCAGAAAGTTTAAATATACTTTTATCTATGCCTGTCTGACATTTGTGTTCCTGAGTGTCTTCTATGACTGAAGTTGAAGACTGAAGCTGATGAAAGAGCCTCACACTCTTGAGTCCAGGAATATAAACAGTCTTCCTGTTGCTCTGAGACTTAGGTCAAGGGTTTGCTCATTAATCTTTAAGAGATGGTACTCATTTTTCAATGGGTGTTAGATTTTAGTTGTCCTTGCTTTCTCAGAGTGAGATTTCACAAGATAGCTAAGGCTGATCCACTAGCAAGCTGGTTAAGCTTCCCTCCTTGTGTTCTGGGCTCATATTTCTGCTGCCTGCCTTGTGTTGTTACTGGTCAGCTGAGTTCAAAAAGTTAACCCAGCAGAAAACTCTTCTTCCATTCAGTTTTTTAGGGTGGTTGCTTTTCTCAGCAGAGCTTCAGCTCTTTCACAGGTAGACCCAACAAGCTCTCTTTAATTTAAGGAAAGTACCAGGAGTGTGTGGAGGAAAGGGTCGAGTGCAACTGGCCCCTGCAGCACCTGCAGCTGGTCACTTGGTAATCTTAGATGTATGGTGAGACTGGACTCTGAGAGCCTCATTCTTCCTGTGGCCTGGGGACCCTACTGAGCAAAGTGTTTATGCTCAATAAATAGTGGAGCGTAATGTCAAAGGAGATACACAGTTCTCTTCTACCATGCCCCAGCATGGCAAGAGGCAGGATTTTAAGAGCAGAATCATTGCAGACATGATTTTGAAAAGGAGCTGAGAGCTGTATTAGAAATGTCTGTGAACATTCAGAGAAGGTCGGGTAACCTGGTTCATTGTCTACCTCTTCATTTTAGCAAATGCTTATAAACTCAGGTGTGGCAACTTTGTTCTGCTGAGTTATGCAGTTATATATTTTGGGAGTGTGTTAATGGACCAGGTACTTGTAGCCAGTCTGCTCTTGTGCAAACAAAACTATACCTCAGTCTGTAGCTTACTTGAACTGTGCTGTAGGGCAGTAAATTTTTTTCCATTTTTGCTCTCAGATACCTAGTTGTTAGAAAGTGGCGCCACATTTATATGCAGCTTAGATTAATCAACTGACTAATTGGACAGTTTTAATAAAAAGTCTTGTTTGCACTTTGACCTTCACATCATAAAGTCATAGCCTGAGGGTGTTTAATTGTTTTAAAAACTTCTTGAAGATAGAAATCAAGAATGAAGATGGCAGCCCTCATGTAGTGCTAGAGATAAGATCAGAATAAACAAAATTACTTTTCTGTTTCTGTGACCGTGTTTAGTGAAAAATGTACCTTGTAAATTTTTTAAGGAATGTTTATGAGAAAAAACTCAACTTCTGTAGCACTTAGTGAGTTTGTCTTTCAAGGTGTATGTGTGAATACCTGAAAGGTTGTTCCTCATCTAGGTGATGCCATTGTGAAAAGGAAATACTGTGTTTGCTCATGAGTGTAGATACCATCCTTTGCTTTGGTTTGTTTTCACTAGGACTTCCACTTCTCAGTGTGTGTTGTAAGACTCATTTCAGATCTGTGGGGGTCCCTTGGGGTGCTTGTAACCTCCTAGGGGCACCGTTCGCTGGCGTTCCAAGGGAATGAAACTGTGGGGACTTATCATGTACTGTTTCTTGGGTGTTAGACAGAAGTGTTAAGGCTAAGTGCTAACAGAGCATGGTGGTGGCATCTGTTTTGAAGGGAGTGAGACAGACTCACAGCTTACATTGCAGGGTAGAATTCCCTAGTACTCCCATCCTCTCCTGAGTAAAGAGCTGTAAAGGTCAAAACATTGGTTCTGTTGCCTTTTGAAAAGTCAGCTCTTTTATTGCTTGTAATGTTAATAGAACTAAGAGCTGTTATCTGTTTTGGGATAATTTCTTTTATATTCAGTTTTCTGTGACTGCATGAAGCCTTTGCAATGGTAAAAAACAAAAGCCTACCAAATATGAATATAACAGAGTAAGATTTGCTCTAAAAAAAGCTTCTAAAGGTCTCCTTAAATTTGCATTTGCAGGTAAAGGTGTTCTGCCTCTTAATCATCCTTCTGCCTCTTAATCACCCTTCTACCTCATTTAAAACTGACAGTTGGCCTCCCTGTTTATGCTTGACTTCACCTGTCTGTAGAGAATACAAAACAGTGAACTGTCTCATTATCCCTCATCAAACCTCGCCTTACTATCATTAACTTAATGCTCACAAAGTTTGGGCAACAATTACATGTAGTGGTGACACTCTGTCATGCTAACAAGTACAATCTCCTTGTGTTCTCATCTTCCTCTTCCATCCAATAATCTATGCTTGACCTTGCAGAGCTGTGATCATTGTTTATTTTTTTATTTTTGTGCAGCTGAATCAAAAATCTTTTCAGTACTGTTTCAGAGCTCCAGTACAGTTAGCAGACGCTATGTGAAACAATTAGTTTGTGCAGCTTGGCAGATACTAGCCTATTCTGCTGCTTCCCAGCTTTTATCCCAAAAAGCTCCCTTCTGTGCCAGTGTATTATTAGTCTTCTGTGCTGTTCAGTGCCTCTCGTCTGCTGATTGCATGCCTCTGACTGACTGATGTTGCTTGAATTTCCCTTTGGAGCTTAATGCGGACACTCAGATCAGGCAAGTGGAATGGCTGGCCCTTGGCAGGGCTCACCGCTGCTGTTTTGTGCTGAGCGTGCACACAAGTGTAGAGTCACAGCATTGCACACCAACCTACGTATACATGTGTATTCAGATGCATGTGATATGCATATGAATACATGTTACTTACATGTTACATGTTACAAGCATATAATACTTATCTTCCGCAGTCTGTAATACTTGTTTCCATAGTCTGTGAAGATTGAGGAAGAGTTGTTTCAGCATAAGAAAATTTTGAGAAAGGTGTGCCATAAGGAGATCTCTGAAGGAAGGGATTTAGAAAGCAAGCATGGGCAAAACATGACAGTTTTATTTTAAAGTACACGTGAATGAAGTAGGAATCTGACTTGCTCAGCCTTGTTTAGTGAAATTAGACATAATGACCCTTTTGTTGTGTATGAGTGTTGTTCCCATCAGTGTAGGAGGCTAGCACACAATACGCATCTGCAGCTTTTTAAATTTTGTTTTCTTAATGGAAACTTGAAGTGAAATTTTGAGGCCTTTAAAAAGATTTGATAATGCTGTGTATGAGGCAGCGTGAAAAATGTACCACTGCACTGCTTTCA